TCCCCACCAATTTTTTTACCACCCTGGTCCTGCTTTTTAATACAAGGAACTGTTTGCCCTAGGTTACCTCTTATAAATCAAAACTCCCACACACTGACATAAAATGAGACTTGGGCCAAACCTATGGGACTAATAAGTCACTACCTGTCCAACACACCTGAAATCAGCAGGGAAATGACCAGTTCTGTTGTAGATTCTGCTGAGAAAGTTTAGAGATAGTATGTGAACACACTGGGGGGACTTCTCCTGCATAAGGCTGGGTCCATGTGAACGGGAACCTCGAGTCCAAACAGTGACCAGGAGCCATCCATGTCCACCGGAACATTCCTTACTGCCACGTGTCCAAGCGGCCTTGCTGTCTCCTTCCTTTGCTTAAGTTGTATCGTGCCCCCCACATCTGTTTTCCATTGCTATAGCAGAATAGCTGAGTATGCATTCCTTACAGTTCTAGAGGCTGAGAAGTCCAAGGTCAAGGGGTGGCATTTGGTAAGGGCCTTTTGGCAGGTGGGGACTCAGCAGGGCCCTGCAGCAGTGCAGGATATCACACCTGGGGTTTGCGCATAAGAGACAGAGTCACAATTGGTCATTCATGTGTAGCTCTATTTATTTTCTTTAGAAGCCATTTTGAAGATACCAAAGTATAGTACAACAACCACTAATAATCTCCTGCCACGTTTGTCTGTAACTCACTATTATTTGTCTATTTGTTTTCCTCAGAAACTATCTTGTAGATAACAATATGTAAAACAATAACCATTGATAATTTCCTAGCAGTTTGTCTGTAATTTGGTAAGCCCCCTATTACTATGTTATCTTCCTTTTACTCTTTAAAATAATAAAAAAAGGGAGAGACAGAGTCAGACACAGACAAGATTTTATGACAGACTCACTCTCAAGATAACCCACACACCCATTAATCCATTAGTTCATGGGTTAATCCATTACTGTTGCCACGGCCCTCATGCCCTAATCACCTCTCAAATGTGCTACCTGGTCCCATCCCTTCGTACCTCATAGCCAGCCTGACCCCTTGAGGGGGCATTGGACCACAGCTCTCCCTCTGGGCTCTTTCTTGTGTGACACATAAGTGACCATAGGCACCCTTGTGAGCACAGCCTGGGCTCCCTTAACTTGTGGCTAAGTGTTCCCACATGTACACAAGGAGATGAGGAGGATCCAGAGAGCTCTCCTTGCTGAAGCGTGTGGAAGGGTCAGGAGTAGTGAGCTTCCTTTGATGATTTTGTTGCCCATTAGCCATGGGCTCCTTTGCTCAGCTGGGATAGAAGTCATAACCAGCAAAGCGAAGCTATTACCAACAGCCCCCGTACCACTGGCTGGCTCCAGTTAATGCTGAACACCGCCAGTTGACACGGATAGTTGCTGGTCTCTGTCACTCTCAGTCACTGCCCTTTGAGGCCATCTTGTGCTGGAGCCATCAGTCGACTCTTCTAGTTGTTACCCTTGAACCCTGAGGACATGTGCAGGACCTTCTAAGCACACGATACCTGAGAGATAAACCATGAGCAGATTTACAGGCCCACCAGGATGAGGCTTCATTTGAACAGGACCCGCAGGACAGGGGAGCTGGTGCACCACAGGAAGCCCTGCTAGACCAGCTGGAGAAGCGGAAGGGGAGTGCTGCTCATATATCCCATTTTCCCCAAAACAAGCCCTAACTGGAAAATAAGCCCTAGCATGGTTTTTCAGGAAGCTCATAATAAACCCTCACCTGAAAATAAGCCCCAGTTAAGATGATCAGCTGAACGGAGACATTTAGTAAGTTCACTGCAACACACAATAGAGGTACCACTATAAAATAATATTAGCATAGAGTTAAATATAAATAATATTGGCATTAATACTTAAATGATAATATAAGTTATAGTGAAGTATTTGTAAACACCCACTGGGTGCCTTTGGATGACAGGCAAACAGCTGCATAAACAGATGAACTCAAGACTTACTGACGAATGACCCGTCAGAGTCCAGACACAGCACATGAATGACGCGTGTGCTTGGTAATGAGCGGATGTGGTTGTGTCTCGTGTGAATCTTCACAGTTCAGTGCTTTGTGTGGTAACTGACACACTCGAAGCACTCCTGTGAAATAAACATTTCTTGAATTTTGGTGCCTGTAATTTTGTGTCACTTTCATGTGGCCCGCCATGCTTAACTGTCATCATTTTTGTTGCCACTCCTGTCTCCTAAGTCTTCAGTTAACGCTTGATTTAGTGGACACTTGGGGAAGCCCAGCCCTGGAAGAGGTCGTGAGTTGGGTGAAGAACTCATGGGATAAAGTCACTGACTACTGTCCTGCCGGTGCACTGTGGCCAGACCACATGGACAAGAAATGCTCGTGTAAGGAGGGCTCTGGTGCTGGACAGGAGAAGTTGGGGCCAACGGTTCTCCAGGAAATGGAGTTGCAAGAAATGCAGGCCAGAACTCAAGGTTTGGGCCGTCAGGATGATGTTCCAGAAGAACATGACCTGACTGTCTTTGAGAAATGTGGTTCTGTACATGAGTACATATAGATTGTTGCACATGAATAAATGTAGATCATTGTACATGAAAAAATAAAACATCCCCTGAAAAGAAGCTCTAGTCATCTTTTGGAGCAAAAATTAACAAGACACAGTCTTATTTTGGGGAAAATACAGTAGCAGCTGCAGGCCTGTGGTTAGCCCAAATTCAAGCCCAATGATTGGGCCAAGGTGAAGTCTGCTGATTGGTCCAAACTGGTATAAACTTGAGCCTTCTGAGTGGAGTCTACTGATTGGCTCAAGCTCATTTCCACTGTCCCACTTACACTGAAGCAGAGCAGACTCCTCCCCATGAGGAGACACTTGACAGGAGCTGTCTGACCCACAGCCACCACAGCTGTGAGGAAAACGATGGGGCTGAAACCAAGGCAGCTTCAGGGAGGCCAGCTGTGTCACCACAGCCTACTGGGCTCTGGGGAGGCCGGGCATGCTTATAACGGGCCCAGGGCCCTCCCCAATGCCTTGGTTGGAGTGGGGACACTGTGGCTGACAGCCCAGCTGCGCAGCCCCTCTAACTGGCCTGGAGGGTGGCCGCTCAGGAACCCGTAGGGCACGGAGGCAAGGTGTCCCCATCCACCCTTGGGAGAGGAGCTAAGGAGGACCAGGAGAAAGTGCAGCATAGAGAGAGGCCTGACAGCCCTCCGCTGAACCACGCCCATGGCAGCAGTTACAGGAGAGTCAGGTGCTTCTCCTCTTTTTCCATTTTCTTTGCAATCGGAAACGGATCCACCTTGGTAGACGATGACTCACCCACTCCCGAGAGAGGCTTTTTCCTGCTTCCTGGTTCTGTAACTCACCTTCTGAACAGGGGTAGAGGTGATCACAACAGAGTTAAGATCTTCACTCTAAAAGCTTCACTACTGACTTAACTACAGCTGAATAAAATGGCTACAGGAAGCCAGACTTTGGTGCTCAGGTGGAAGACATAATCCCTACTTGCAGGCTGCCATTGCAGAAGCTTGTGACAAATGTGGTATGCAATGTGTGGGCACAGGAGGTGGGGCTCCAGCTTGTGCAGTGGAGCAGGGATGCCAAGAGGTCTGTCCCACTGGAAGGTTCTGGATCCAGGCAGGGCAGGTTCCTCCTCACAGAAGCACCCAACTCATGCTGGAGAACTCATAAAATGATCCTTAGAGTAGGTAACCCTCACACTATAGGCAAAGCAGGCACGGGTGAGCTTCCAGGCTGAGGGAACGGCACAGGCCAAGACAGTGACAGAGATAAATTCGCTCAGTTGCATCGTAGGTGCAAATCAGCTCTGAAACATTCACCTCTATGAGCCCCTGGGTGTTTATCTGCAAAGTAGGGACACTAGCCCTTGCCTGGCTGCGACAGGAGTTACGGTGAGGGCTGAATACAGACCAGCAAAGGGCCTGTAAACTGGGAAGTGCCACCTTCGCTATGAAAGAGAAGTGTCGGGTGGGACCACAGTCTTGATCCAACTCACCGGTGACAGGGCCGGAAGAAAGAAGAATCCTCAAGGCGCTCTACCACTAACTCACTCACTCCCGAAGCCACTTCGGCTATTTGCCTCACCTGTAAAATTAGTTTTGTGAAACCAGCAACCTTAAATATCTCTTCTGACTGATGTTTTATTCCCAAGCCTCCTTTAAATCTACTCACGAGTACCCAGCCGCGGCACCAACCCCAGTGCTGGTCTTCACTTCTTCCTAACCTTCCTCCTGGCCGACAAAGTAGAAGACTCACCAAGCGTGCTCAACAGCCCATGACACATTTCCTGCGCCCTGCTGTCCCGTCTGCGGGTCATGGACACGCAGAAGCCAGCCATCCTGGAGCTCAGAGAGGGACGGCGTTGCGGGGCAGTGAACAGCCCTGCATTCCTGCTAGGGCCAGCAGCAATCCTGCACACAGGCTGTTTGGTTTTGAGGCGTGCTGGGATGAAAGGTGGCCGACAAGCGGAAGGCTGGGTCGTTCATTCATTAATTACAGCCCTAATTGAGGGTTTGTTCTGAAGAGTAAGTCCTTTGAAATTACTTTCCATCACACAAGAACCACACGAGAGAATCATATTCAGCGCCATCTCAACTTAGGCAGCGTGAGTACTTTTCTTCCAGGACCTGAGATCCTCACTCGTGATCCAGCTGTACTTTGAGGAGTCTCTCCCTCCCCATCGCTGTAGAGCCGGTTCATTTGTCTGTGTGTGTGTGTGTTTAATGTCTGCTTTTTAAAAAGAAAATCTGAGCCCAAGAACATTTTTGTGGGCTTTGATCTGACCTTTTCCTAATAAAGGGACAGTGGAAAAATTCTGTGGATTTGAAAGACAGATTAGAAAGACACCTGAGACTAATACCTTCCTGAAGCCACAGGCCACACCTCCAAGTCACCACCGAGGGGAGGAAGCAGCTGGCATATTGACGTGGTTCTAAACAACAACAACGTGGGCTGGCCCGGGGCACTTCGAGATTGACCAAGAGGAAACACACATTGCACAATGATAGGATCTTGTCGGTACAGTTGTCAGAGAAGGGAACTCCCACAGCAAAAGGCATAAAACCATCTGGGGCAATCCGGGCGGCTCAGTCCTCCACTGCCAGGGAGCGGAGCAGAGCCCAGCCCAGCACCAAACACAGATGGAACCATGAACTCGAGCCACAGAGTTAGCCAGAGCTACTCAGCCTCCCTCCGTGGCACAGGAGATGGCCGGGGCTGGCCTGGGAGCTTGCCCCGGGCCCCCAGCGTCCATGGCGGTGCAGGAGGTGTCCGCGTCTCTCTTTCCTTCTCCAGGCCAAGATGCCTGCCCCCTGGAGGGGCTTGGGCATCTCAAAGGGGCAGTCCCCTTCTAGGCGGAAATGGGAAAGAGACCATGCAGAACCTCAACGACCGCCTGGCCTCCTACCTGGACAAGGTGCGCGCGCTGGAGGAGGCCAACCAGAAGCTGGAGAGCCGCATTCTGCAGTGGCATCGGGAGAGAGATTCTGGCAGCAAGAAAGATTATTCCCCATACGAGGAAAACATCAGCCACCTGCAGGAGCAGGTAAGGTGCCGGGCCACATTGCCGGGGGACCCTAGGGAGGAAAAGTCAGCACAAAAGGCAGTTTCCAAGACAATGGCAGGAGAGTTCAAAGTAACTGTTGAGGCTGCCTTCTTACTATACCATCAATGCACACTTGGGAAAGTCTGGTGTAATTAATTTCCTATACATAAACCATATAGAATATCAAGACGGTCCCAGGTACAGATGTATCATAGGCTGTTTTTGAAAAATAAGACTTATTGTTCATATACTAAAAAATATACAGATCATAAAAATGCCAGACAGCTTGGTACTGCGCAGTATCACTTATGAGCCAGTAATATCCCAGTCGTGATAAGGACCGGTACGCTGGTCGCACACTCAGCACACTAGGCCAGGGGAGTGTTTACTCTCTCAAGGTAGGGTTGTGCTCCACCCTGAAGCGCTGGCCAAGTATGCTCATCCTTCCACAGGAGGCCGAAACGCTGTCACTCCACTCGCCAGCCGATAAATCGCTGTGACACCCCTGGGTGTTCCTTCGGGGGCGGCTGGCAGATAAAATGCTGCCACAGTTCTGAGAAGGGCATATTGCTGGGGGAGGGGGAGTGAGCATCATTTTTATTTTTTTGGTACTGGGAATTGAACTCAGGCCCTCATGCTTGCCAAGCAGGTGCTGCACCACTGAACTATATCCCTGGCCCTGAACACTATTTTTAAAATCTGATTATTAGAATGGGCTAAGGACACACGCTTCAAACAATAATAACCTGTCAACTAAAAACAGCTAAAAGGCCAGGCTCATGCATTCTGGGACAGCCAGCTGGAAGTAGAGGATACTCAGTGATAACACCAGTTATTTTTAAAGGTGTGTAACTTCCCTGTACATCAAGGAGCCTCAGAAAATGGGTATAAGATCATGACTTAACCTACCCTAGGAAGGGCATCACAGACTTCCAATATTTTACCAGGTGATTTTGCAACACTCAGGTCATGCTTGCATGAATGTAGGACCAATCAAGATAACATAAATCTGTCCTTGTAATGAACCCTAATTATTGAATAATCGGGCTAATAACTGACTGTACAATGGCCTTAACTATATAGTACACGGTTGTCTGTACCAAAATCAAGGTGACTCAACAGTACTCATGGTGTTTTTCATCTACAAAGTTGCTTTGGTTTTAGAATGGAGGGAAAGGAAGATGTTTGCAGGCGGAGAGCTGAAAGCGTGAGCCCCGAGGGAGAGGGAGGTCACCGCACCAGCCCGCAGGAGGCAGGGGAAGGGGCAGAAGAGGGGGAAGAAAGGACCGAGCTTTTCTTGCGTTCTGGGCTTCCTGCTGTATACTTAGTACACAAGCCCGTGCTGAGCGCTTTCTCCAGTGATGAAACTGTTGTCATAGGATTTTATTCTCACAACAACCGTGTCTGGAAATCAGAGCTCAGGAAAGGGAAACAGCCCTTCAAAGCCACCAGCCAGAGGCAGAGGTGGGATCTGAACCGACGACATCTGTTTCCATTGCCCCCGAATTCCCACCGCAGCCCCACGGCCGACTGGTCTACCTCAGAAAAATGCTGTGTCTGAGTTCTTAGGCAGGGCCATGCGTTGTGCTTGCGCTGTTATCCGTGCAGTACCTCCTTTACACACATCTCATTGAAGTCTCACAACTCTGTGAACCGGGCACTTTTATCCCCAATTTATGGGAGAGGAAATGGAGACCAAGTGGTTGTCTAAATTCTTTAGAACACTACCGAGAAACATTGTACCTAGGGCGGGGGTGTGGTTATGAGGGAGGGGAGAACTTGCTCACTCCCCGGAGAGTCCAGAATCCTGGGTTCTGAGAGAACTGGGGAGCTCCTTCCACTCTGAGTTCCAATCTTTCCTGAACTCTCACTTCAGAGGTTGCATTTTCTGGAGGTTTGAAGATAGCAACTGAACTATTTGAGGGCGAGGTTTCTTTCCATCCTCAGCACACACACATGTACACACACACACACACACATACACACCATTTGCACGTGAGAAAACACAGCGCCAAAGGGGCTGCTGTCCAGAAGGACTGACCCATTCCTGGGTTGTCAGCAGATACCCCGAGCAGGTGCATGACCCTGCTCCTACCTTAGGATATTAAATGTTACTCTAAAAGCCCAGAGAAAGTTGAGTTCAAAACTAACCCAACTGACAGAAGTCATAGGGATATCATCCATAAGCTCCCTAAATGATTCTCAAGGATGCTGTCTTTGGTATTTTGGTTTATGGTGAAAAACACTATTGCCCTGTCCCAGGTAGAAGATCCCACAGCTTGGAGCACCCATGCGGTGAGAACACACCAACTAGACTGTAACAGAATGAACTTGGGGCCTTGGGGAGAAGCCAGGTGATAATTACAACACACAGTGTAAGACCTGTGCCTCGTGTGTTATTTCTCAACCCATCTCGGTCCATTTCTGGCCCTGGAGGGTGTCTCCGAAGTGGTGGCCTCTTACACAATACACAATATTGTATCAAATACGCCTGAAGAGTGGGGAATAGTTTTACAGGTGCTTTACATGAAGTGCACCCATGGCTCACCTTTGTGAAACAGGAGAATGTTGGGGTGTGGGGGATCCGACTCCCGATGTGGGCTTTGCCGCGGATAAATCATCGGTTTAACTCAGCAAAGACAAAGAAGCCCGCCAGTGGTATTTTTTGCTCTCCTTGTTTTGTGTCGGGCATGGTGCAAGGTTTCCCTGGTGCCATCACCACTCAGAGTCCGAGTCCAACAGGGCAGTCGGCACCAGGGGGCTCGAGGCTTAGCCCAGGGTCCCGGGCTGTTGGGCATGGAGCTATTTTTCATTTTGCAGGAGTTTCGCTAAGGTGAAGGACCAGAGGCCTAGAAGGAAAGGCCCTGATCAGAACTCCCCCAAAGGGGCCCCGCAGACAGGCGCAAGGAAATGCATCTGCTGCTTCTCCTGGAGCAAAGGAAGGGGTCCCAGCGCTGATGGGAATCCCCAAAGGGAGGCAGGAAGTTGGGTGCGGCGGCCAGCCTGGCCTCCTCCCACCACGAACAGCAGAGGCTGGAGGGTACATCCCAACGCATGAAACACGGGGCTCAGCCAGGCGTGGTGGGTGCACTTGTAATCTCAGCACTGTGGGAGGCAGAGGCAGGAAGATCTCAAGCTTCAGCCCAGCCCGGGGAATATCATGACTTAGTGAGACCCTGACTCATAATAAAAAATTTTAAAAGGGCCAAAGGTATAACTCAGTACACAGGCCCTGATTCAATCCTGTGTACTGCAAAAGTTATAGCCAAACAAACAAAGAAACAAAAATCCTGCTGCTTTTCACAAGCAGACATTGGCTTTAATTATAAAAGTTAGATTTTTAATAAGAAAACCACTCTATTTACGTTTTTCTGAACTGCTTCCATTTCAAATAATTTTGGGAGTGCCTGTGGTATGCCAGGAATATTCTATTTTACAAAATTATTTTCTTTACTGTCTTCTAATTCTCACAACTCCTTAAAGGAGTGGGATTCTTATTCCCATTTTATGGAAGAGGAAACTGAGACCCCACCAGGCTCATTCAGCCAGCGGGAGCTGGAGTGGGAGCCTGGCCCTGCTCTCTGGGCTCCAGGTGGGGCATCCTCACCGCTTCCAAAGGCTTCTATTGTACATTCCCGACACCAAATTCCAAGTTATCAGCAAAGCTCTACACAGAGCCAGAGTTTTTAAAGGTGTCTTTGTACTGAACCATAGCTCTGTCCTAAGAAAATTCTTTCTGAATTAAAGAATTAGCTCTGTAAATACAATGGCAATATCACAGGATTCTTTACACTCCAACTAAATAATAGAAGTTTAGACAGGGGACTTCCAAGGTCACCTGTGCTGGCACAAGCTCCCTATTTAACAAATTATGAAATTGAGACACAGGGAGTGATCTGTCTGAGACCACATGGATGGTCAGGGAACAGAGCCAGAGCCCAGGGAGAGATCCACTAGCTAGTTTGGCACAATATGTCATTATAAAAGCTCTGCAGTATGATACTTCTGAAATATCTTCCACCCCATTTCCGCATAGGCAGTGCCATAGACCGATGTGTGCTATTTCTCTGATTACACTGTATGAACAGCTGTTCAAAAATACATCCAACAATATTTTTCTTTTAAAGTACACAAAAATTATAGACATTTTCAGTGAGAATCTTTAACTGGAAGCTGCAATACTGTTGGAGCTTCTTCTTTTTTTTTTTTTTTTTGGTCTTTTTGAGACAGGGTCTCACTCTGCAGTTCAGGCTGGACTTGGGCTCACTTTGTTGCCCAGGCTGGTCTCGAAATCACAACAATCTTCCTGCCTCAGCCTCTGGAATGCTGGGATTGCAGGCATGCACCACCATGCCCAGCTGCTGAAGCTTCTCAAGCACCTTTATTAGATGGTTAAAAAATTAGCTTGGTAAATGTTTTAATAGTTATAATTGGTTATGCTCTTCATGGAACACGTTATACACACACACACACATACATATCTGCAAGTTACATACAAGGGGGGATCAGAATATGCGGGGAATGCTTAAATTCTCAAAAATGTATTATAGTAAAAGACGCATTACCGTTAACCCCACCAAAATCCTCCTCCTCACTTTGGGCACACCTGTCCCAGAGTTCTCGCCACTTTCTGAAGCAGTTCTGAAAATCTCTGAAGAATGATCAGAACTTAAGTGAGTGCTGCTGCTGAGTGCCACCCAGCACAAAGGCAGGCTGGGGGAGATGCCACGGTGTGCTCACACCTGTGTGGCTCCTGGATCTTCTCCAAAGTCAAAATGACCATGAAGGGTCAATGTTCTGAATCAATTCTGGACACTGAGGCAGCCACAATAGCGAAAAACAAAACAAAGGCCAGGAAAGGGGACTTCCAAAACTACTTCGGCAAGTAAGACGATGGGACCGGGGTTTTGAAGTGGGCCGGAGGGCTTGAAGGAGATTAGTGGTGATATGCCTTGTGCTGTAAAGATGTTTTGTTCACTTAAACATTCACTGTATTTTTTATTACACCTTGTCTACGGCTCTGCACACTGCGGGGGAAAGAAGTATGCTATTAATGATTATTAGGAAATATAGTCGGTCTCTTGCCTTTTTTGCTCATTAATAATGACTGGAAACATGAATATGTTCCCGAGTATGAATATGCTCATCTAAAATAATAATGCTTGCATTGTAGGAGAACTGACCTAATATCCATACTAAGAAAAGTCTTGCAGCCTACGCTCTTAATGTCTTCAGACGCGGGGAGCTTAAGCAAAGCATTTAGACGTGTTCAGAACAGTAAAGTTAGATGCTCTGAAGGTTTGTCATTCTTGCCGCACTCTTTCAAGGCAGCATCAGTCCCAGCTTGTCAAAACTCAACATAAAAAGAAATGGTAAAACTGGCCGCAGATCAGATGTTTACTAGAAATCTTGCCACGCTTGCACCTAGTAGGGGCTCAATAAACACGCACCAATCAGGCTCTCGTGTTCCACTGCACAGTAGTTGTCTGCGCTGACGACCGCAAGCCCAGGAGCTGGGGCAGGGGAGGGGCAGAGGCATGGCCCGCCCGGCGGAAATGATCTGGGTCTTTGTTTTGCAGATAGTGGATGGCAAGGTGGCCAACGCGCACATCCTCGTTCTCATCGACAACGCCAGGATGGCGGTGGACGACTTCAACCTCAAGTAAGTCCCTGCTGTGCAGAGTTATGTGAGCTTGGGGTTTGTTGGCTGTATAAAAGGAAAGCCCATCTTCCCGTGACCCACAACTACAATGTGACTGAACTATCACGACAAGGCATAGCAACCCCCAACCCCACACGCAGCACTGGAACGGACTGTAGCTGAAGCAAACCGGACACAAAACACATGCATCTATGGGGAGTTTGAACGTGAATCAAGAATTAGATGATGTTCAGAGATTATTAACTTTTACATAGGGTATTTTATTTTAGATCTTACTTAGGATCATTTTATTTTATTTTTCTAAATTTTATTTAGATATTTAGAAAAAATCTTTGTCTTCATAAATGCATCCCAACAGATAGAAGGTTAACGGGTCATAATGCCTATAATTTGCTTTGAAAAACTCAAGCCGTGGATGTAGGTGAAGTACATACGGCAAAATACTAATGGCTGTGAAACCTAGGTGCTGGGTATGTGGCTGTTTCTTATTCTAGTCTTCGTACTCAGTTAAAAGCTTTACCATCGTGGAAAGGCATCGTAGCATGAAACAGCCACAGAGGCCGCCCCAGATTGTGCTTATGTGCTCTGATTAAACTTAAAAAAAATAAGAGATTCGCCTCAAAACTACAGTGAATCCTTACAGAATCTACAGCCTCCCAACAGCAGGGGTGTCCTTCCTCTTTTCCAAACAAAGGTACGAAAATGAGCGCTCCTTAAAGAAAGACCTGGAAATTGAGGTGGAGACCCTGCGAAAGACCTTAGATGATCTGACCATCGTCACAACAGATCTGGAGCAGGAGGTGGAAGGGATGCGGAAAGAGCTGATCCTCATGAAGAAGCGACACGAACAGGTAGGACTGGCCTGGGAGGAGCCAGGGACGAGCTTGGCTCTCTGTCTGCACACACCAGGACGTTCGGTAGTTACAGAGGAATCCGGTACCTGCATGCCAGTCCTAAGGTCCTCCCTGCAGAATCACAGAAACATCTAACTTCTCCAATTTTAGGGCTATGGATTCAGATGTCAGAAACAACCACCGAAGCGCAAATATCAGCAACAATGAATTGGCCGAGGCCCTGTGTTTAGCTGGGCTTGTCAGTTAATCTGTCCCTGCACCAAAGTGGCTCTGAGCTCCCTACATTGACTCAGGGCACAGCCAATTGGGGGATAAGAGAACAAAGCGAATCTGCCACCAGCCAAAGTAAATATGGCTGGTGGCAAAAATTAAGAATCTTGATTTCCAGATGCATTTACCATTCATCTCAAGGAGCTGAGGCTGATAAAATGATAGAAAAACAATCTCCATTTTAGGCAAATGAAGGTTGCTTCTGAACATCAAAGCACCCGGTTTCTGAATAGCTGGTTAGGCACTCTTGTTAATTAAACCTTTCCTGCTGGTGCTTGGTTTTCATGAAATCCTATAGGCGTCAGCCCTGTAGAGGCAGAAGGTACGGGATTTTAAAAGCTTCTCTCCACCTTTTGGTTTTTCATTACTGAGCTGCTTCCCAAAAGCTCTGTCCTAAACCCTGACATTTGTAATCTCTTAATTGTACAGTCGCTCCACCAAAGAACATCTTCTAGACAGAAATATGTACACAGTGCTAGCATAATTGTTTCTGAAATATTTTCAACCAGGGATTAAGTGAGTTATCAAAGAAGCCATGCGGGTACCTCTCTGTTTATAAATTATTTCCTTAACTGTTTGGAGGCTGCGTTTCCTTATCTGCAAATGGGGGCACAAAGACCTGCCTGGAAAGGTACTGTGAGGATTCATGACATTTAATGGAATGAGCTGCCTAGCCCAACATTTTATAAATAGTTTATAAAATTATTAGAGAAAAAAGTATATAGTTGCATTATCAAAAAGGCACACATGAGCAACTGAACTACACCAGTGAAAGCGGTCAAACCACCTAAGCTTAGTTTTTTTTAAGGATCCATTTACTGCTGCCAGTCAACACAATTCAGGCTTCTCTTTGCCCCGGCTGCCAATTTGTTTTCTTTCTCTCTTGTGGAACAGGAAATGGAGGGACAGCCCATGCCAAATGACCTCAAGGTCAGCGTGAAGGTGGACACAACTCCCGGGGAAGATCTGATCAAGGTCTTGGAGGACATGAGGCAGGAATATGAGTATATAATAAAGAAGAAGCATCAAGCCTGGGACACTTGGTTCAAAGAGCAGGTAAGAGAGAAGTGGACAGACTTCCTGTAGTCCGGTTTCTAAGGGATCACAGAGCTGACGCCTCTCCCTGTGCTTGGTCTTCCAGTCAGCAGCCATGTCCCAGGAGGTGGCCAGTCCAGCTGCTGTGCAGGCCAACCAGGGTGACGTCCACGAGTTGAAGCGCACTTTCCAGGCCCTGGAGATCGATCTGCAGGCACAGCACAACAGGGTGAGTGGAGCCAGGAAAATCCCGAGTCCTGTGTCACCTCAGGACCTCTCTCCCGCCTCTCTTTCCATACTGCTCCTGGTGAGGATGGTAACAAGAGCTTCTGTCATCATGTGGAGTGGACACCGGATGTTGGGCTGGGCAGCTCATTTCATTAAATGTTACTAATCCTCACAGTACCTCTCCAGGCAGGTCTTTATGTTCCCACTTAGGGATGAGGAAACCCAGGCTCCAAACAGTTAAGGAAATTGGCCAAGGTCACACAACTAGTGAGTTACCAGTGGTGAAACCAGGTGATGCTGGGGTGGGGGTTTCTAGATCCCCATATCTCTCCACTGAAAGCCAGGCTACCCTCCAGCTCCACTGTGGAGAACTCCTGTGCCAAGCTGGTAGGTGGTGAAGCCAGGCCTGGCCTGGCTCAGTTCCTTGTGGCTGAGTCCTCTCATCCAGCAAACTCAGGTCTTGGGTCTAAGTCCTTTCTGCCATCTTCACTGTTTAGTAAAATTCCTTGAATGCATGTTCTAAGCATTCACAACTCACTAAATACCATCTGCGGTCCCCTTCCTAGCCCATGGGCTCCTCTGATCCTTGACAGCATGACTTCTGAGTGCCGCTCTCCTCTCCCCTCAGTCTTGAGAGGTCACAATTAGTTCACTTGTGCTGAGATGCACATGGTGAATGATGTTACGGTTTACAAATCTGTGATAGTGAGCAGACATTAAAAGTGTGCACTGTCAAGGTGACAAAGACGAGCACAGAAGCTACTGCAGTGTTGTGTTTTGCGGCTTTAAAGACCCTGTGACCTACTCGGTCACACCTCCTCTGTGACATCAGCAAGGTGTGTGGACCCGCTTTTGTGCCTTTGCTAGGTGACACTATTCAGCAGGGAGAGCTGGGTACTGAAGGTGTGAGGGGAACAAGCAGTAAATGTGCAAATCATCAAGATATAAGAGCGGGTGAGACGGAGACAATCGCTGCAAGGAAGGGCAGCGCAGGAGGTGAGGGTGGCGGAGTGAAGAGCTGCCTTTTAAACAAGCTGTTCTGGACGGGCTTCACTGTTTAGGGGACAGCTCAGCAAAGCCCCAGTTGCTGCCTGCCTTGAGGAATTTCCAACTGGCCAGAGATAAACCGGAGGCATTAGGCGGTAGAGAACAGTCCAGAATTAGGCAGTATGTGCCCAACCCCACAGCACATGCCTGATCCCAAATGCCGAGCAGAGACCACCAGCACTGGGGAAGCATGACAGAGCTCCTGGGAGCTCCCTGACGCAGTGATTTGAAGCCCAGAGAATGATGTCGGAAGTCCCACCTCTGCCACCTGAGCCAGCAGCTCCCAACTCCCTTAGCACAGTGTAGCACAGCGGTGGCCAAAGCTCAATACTCAATAAGCCCACCCCACCAAAGCAGTCAGGCCGTCGGTCAGCTAGCAAAAGACAATCACTTCCTTTTTCAGAAATCTGCCCTAGAGAACATGCTGCTGGAGACCCAGTCCCGGTTCTCCTGCCAGCTCCAGGACATGCAGCAGATCATTTCCCACTATGAGGAGGAGTTGCTGCAGCTACGCCATGACCTTGAGAGGCAGAACAATGAATACAAGGTGCTGCTGGGCATCAAGACCCACCTGGAGAAGGAAATCGCCACCTACCGCCAGCTCCTAGAGGGAAACAGCAATGGGTAAGGCCGGGTGCAGGAGAGCAAAGGGCAGGCAGCTTGAGCGTGTACAAATGTGTGTGTGTGTGTGTGTGTGTGTGTGTGTGTGTGTGTGTATTTCACAGGCTCCTTCTACAGTGTAGCTCTAGAGGGACAGAGGCTGATATTGACTTTCTCTGAAGATGCCCACGTCAACGAGCATAAACCAATCGGCAGCTACTCCCCAGACGCTAAGATCTGCCTTCAGAACGGTTAAAATGAACATATCAAAGTCTCTAGGAAAAATAAATAGCAACTTGAAAAATATAGAGGGAGTGTTTTAACCTCACAGCAGGGAAACAGTCCTAAATGATAAGGTTGTCTAGACTTTCAGTTTGATATTCTGGCCACACCAGGAAATAACAATAACTGGCGATAGAAAGTTATTCCATGACCAAAAAGAAAGGATTAGGAAGTTTTTCAAAATACACAAATAAAACATCCTGAGACCAAACTTAGACCACCCTAAGGAGTTCTAGGGCTCCAGACTTGAGACCTAGAAGAGATCTTGGTGGAGAGATGCCTGCGGCAGGCCACGGGGAGGGAGGGAGGTTGGAAGAACTCCCTTGGCTGAGGTTGAGAGGAGGCCGTCCTCACCACCTTCCGGATCCAGGTTCCCCGTGAACTCACGACCTTGGTCGTGCCAAGCTCAGACAATTATCCTCATTAAAGAGTTGGGAATTTACAAGCAGCACGAGGAGGCTGGTTCATCAGGAGAGGCGGTGACTACTGCCAGTACTAAAGTGGGTTTTAACTTTTCTCATTTGTACAGGGCAATGGAAGAATCTAAGCCCAGCGTGAAAGGTAAAGCGATTTCTTTCATTGTTTGGATCTACCTATTCTTTCAATGCCCTGCGTGTTTATCCACTCTGCAGTGGTCATGATCTTTGTTGTACTCCCAAATGTCCCATGTTCAACTTTTATTTTGCTCCCAGATGGCCAGAAGTTTTCCATTAATTTAACAAATTAGATGACGCAGAATGCAGTGAGCTGTCACTGTTATTCTCACAGATGCAGGTGGAGTATCCCTTATCCACAATGCTCGGGATCAGAGGCGTCTCTGACTTCAGATTTGCTCTTTAATTCTGGATTATTTCAGTACCCAGTGAGCTATCCAGAGGATGGGAGCCAAGTCTAAACATGAAATTCGTTTATGTTTCGTACACACCCCATACATATGGCCCGTGGGTAATTTTATACAATATTTTAAACATTTTTATGAAGCAAAGTTTTATGGTGTGGAATTTTCCGCTTGCGCCATCTTGTAAGTCCTCAGAACGTTTTGGATTTTGGAGCACTTCAGATTTCAGATTTTTTTGGATAAAGGATGCTCAACCTGTCTATGAAAGTTTTATGGCAGTAGTGAAGATGAAAATGATAAATAATAGTATTACGTCTCTATTAAGTCATCAGTAAACTCCTAAGAAATTAAATCATGCGCTTTCCCATCAATTCTGTTGCACACCCATGTCCCATGAGATCTGAGTAGTGTGTTAGGAAAGACGAGTTCCAGGGCCAGAGGAGGTTGCAGGTACTCTGTACCATTTTCCTATTACTGAGGGGTCAGGTTGCGTCAGTATGTTCAAGACTGAACAGTACACTGTGCGGAACAAAGGTCAAAAAGAGAGAAAGCAACAGAAAAGGCTTTACTCTGTTTAACTCGGTATTCCCATACACCTTTGGTGCAGGTACACTATTTTCCTGGGCTACCATTAACATCTCACAGAAAAGTTCCAGAAAAGCCCAATGGAGATCAAGTGGCGCTTTCTGAAGAGTCTGTGATAAAATTGTTTTAGGCATCAGCAATTTGGAGAATCAGAGTTGGACCCCTAGTCGCAGAAAAGCTGACCTGCTATCTTTCTGCAAAATCCAGCAGACGGTCCTTCACCCTCTCCTTATCCAAGTCCCTGGGTGGGAAATACAATAAGTTATGAAATAGCCCAGCCTGCTGTAGGAGAGGTTTGATTTTAACAGAGCTTTCCTTTGTATCTCTGTTAAAGGTTTCGCTTCTTCCCTAGGGTTTAGAATTGGTCTACTGATGTGTCAACAAGACTTATTCAAATAAAGCATACCCTTGAGAGCAGCAGTCATGATAAACATCCCTGGCCTCTCACCCACCCACATGGCATGCTTTCCAGCCCTTAAAATAAGTGTTCCAAGTGGAATGTAGTCCTCTTACAGATAATAGCCTCTGTAGTGCAAGAGCCACACAGCTCACATGAGCAGAAAGTGTCCTCAGAAGATTGTGCCCAGAGACTAGCACCTGGAGCAGGGACCCTCGCATGAATGTCTGGATCTCCAAAAGATGGCTCTGTCCACAGACTTTCATTTCCTGGGGCGTGGAGGAAAATTCTCTGTGGTGAGATTCCTGTGATCTGGAGCAGAGTCCACCACGTAGCTTAGTGACCAGGGTCTGCCATATTGCTTAGTGGTCGTTTCGGAGGTGCGGTGAAGTTTCAGGGACAGAGACTAGGGAACCAAACGGGAATACAGTTCAGATGCTGGAGAAGGCACGGCAGTGACCTCTTTGGTGCTCTTTCCCACAGTATCTGCAGCTCCAAAGCTCAAGGCCATCGTGCAGGAGAGTGTCAATGGAAGAATAGTTCTTTCTCAAGTGAATGAGATCCAGAAGCACGTGTGAGGCCAATAAAAGTTTCCGCCTGTTGTAAAAACTGTTCTTTTCGCACGGAAAGTCCTTGCCTAGACATTGAAGGGTGAGTGCTGAAAGGGATCCTGGGTGTTAGCAACTCCGAAACTTCTAGTATTTTTTTCTATCCCAATCTCATCAGACTTCCCCTAACACTTCTGATATACTGTTGAAATTTTCAAGTCAAAGTACAGATTTATGAGTTTAAAGCTCTGCTTTCCTACCGTGGTCTTCAGATTCCCATCAAGGTGCATCTGGTTTGTAGCCAATAAAACTGTACACACTACACACTGTCTTTTCTTGTGTGGCAAAGCAAGACGAGGCCAGTTTTGACAGATGTCCATTCATTCCCTCCAAAGGCTCTCAGAGCATTGCTCGTGCAAGAACCAGAGGGACCGTAAGGGGTCACACGCGTCCACAGCACCCGAACACTAGACAGACTGTTCCCTCAAGCTACGCAGCCAAGAGAAGAGACGTGGTCCACCAGGCTCTCCAGCCTCTGCCGACAGAAGGCTTGAGGGACAAACAGAGAAAGGATGCCCAAAAGACTTCACCAAGATAGAAACCCACATATCCACCAAGACGTGGCCAGAGATTGCACGTGGGCTTGCAGGATATTAACAATTTGCGAGACCTCAGGTACAGTATAGGCAAAATCTCCCATTTCACAGACAAATAAACTGAGGCCTGGCTCAGTAAAGAGATTTACTCAACACGCACTGAAGTGGTGCCACTGAGTCTAGAGCTTGGTCTCTAGGTTCTTGCAATAGCTGTTTAACTACAAGTGGGTGTCGTGGACGTGCCTTGCCATCCAACCTTGGTCAAGTACTCTCCTAGAAGCGATTCGTGTTTTCTGAGGCAGACATCTGTCAAAACTGGGCTCACCTTCCTTTTAAGGAAACAATGGATATTTCTGATGCTTCCAGGATAGAAAAGCAGCCCCTAGCCATCTGAAAGTAAGCAAAAGAACCCAGGATGACCACATCATTGCAAAAAAAAGGTTTTAGTCAAAATCTACCAATTCCCTGGGATAAAATCATAAATTTATCCTTACTATGAGACTATTTCAAAGAGGCTCAAAAATGTCATACATAAACGGCTTCAGTGAGGTGTCTGTGTGGTATTAGTCTGTGGTGATTTCAGTGTATCATGAGCACTGTTTTTCTGTTTCATTTTACCAAGAGAGCTTCCCTGTATTAAGGGGGTATTACAGTCTCCAAGTAGCATCAAAGTACATTTTTCTCTACTGTATTTTATTTTTTTCTTTTTTCAGTACCAGGAATCAAACTCAGGGCCTCACGCTTGCTAAGCAGGTGCTGCACCACTTAGTTACATCCCCAGGTCTTTCTCTATTTTTTTTTTTTTTTTTGCAGTACTGGATCGAACTCACAACCTTGCGCTTGCCAGGCAGGCGCTTATGCCACTGAGCTACATCCCCAGCCCCCTTTTCTCTACTTTAAAAGTCATTTCTTCTATCATTTTTGGCACTGTTATTTCTTTCTTGAAACCTAGCAAATGTACATAAAATATACTGCCAGCCCTTTGTATCCTCTGGTTCCCCACACTCGGCTCAAGCTCACCCCGATGGAAGATGTCAGGAACGCTGCAGCTGCACCGAGCCTGTACAGACTCCCATTTCTGGTCGTTGTTCCCTAAACAGCGCAGTGAGACAACCATTCGCGCTGTGTGTGCTCTGTGTTAAGCATGACGACTGCCCAGGGCACTTGAAAGTGTACAGGAGAATGTAGGTGGATTATAAGCAAATACTACACCATCTCACAGAAGGGACTTGGGTGTCTTAGGGTTTGAAATCTCTCTTGACACAAATCCCCTGGAAATACCAAGGGACAACTCTCTCTGTCTGTTTCCAAAGTAAAATCTGGGCCTTTCTAGAAAATTCCTTTGGGGAATATTCAAAAAAGGAATATGAGAAGCTGAAGAAAAGACTATAATACTTGAACCAGAAAATAATCACTAACCTTCCATGTACAGTCATAGTTCATGTATGGCAAGAGTTAAACAGTTGAATAATCTTTTATTCAAGCACCTAAAATCTCTTTAAAGTCGTATTAATTTTTACCTTATCAGTTCGGGTGGCTGACTCATGCTAATTCCGCAGAGAGACGTGAGATGCACACAGACTGGATTAGCAGGTCACCCTGCCAGAAAAGAATTGCTTCTATTTTACTAAGGGAAGACAAATAGAGAGACATGAACACATCTGAATAAAGAATTAACCGCATAAATTTTGGCTTTAAGTAACACTGAGTAACCTTCCTCCCACATTCAAATCCGCCCCGAAACCTTTCAAAATACCCATTACAAATCAGCTAACGCTATGTGCTGAGGTGAGTTATCAACAAAAGAGGTTTCTGTTTATATCCAGCTTTGACGAACATATACCCAACCCTCACAAAGGAAGTGGTAAGAAATTCTATAGTTTTCATTCCAGGCATATTTTGAATAAATGATAATTATCCTCCTATTACCCAAAAGTCAATTAAGCAAATATCTGGCTAATCCAAAGAAGTATAAAATGCTACTTTGGAACTCAATATTTATGTCAACGTATTTACTTACAGTATCGTAAGATGGTTTGAGTGTGTAGATCCGTCTGATATTGTTCAATCCTATCAAATACGGGGGATCAAGATCTGTAGCAACTATCTAAATTTTTAAAATTTAATATGTTAAAGTCATATTGCTATGAATCCCCCTCAGAATACTGCCCTCTCTTTGAACAGTTACCCCATCATTCTTGCCACTTTCTGAAGCAGGTTTGGAAGTCTTCCCTGATTGTCCTAACGAAGTGTGATCAAAAACACAGTGACGGCTTTCCTGAGCACCCCCTACCAGAGAGGCAGCCTTGTAAAAAACGTGATGGTGTATCTCCACCCACCAAATTCGCCCGGATCTGGTACCATGCTACTTCCAGGTCTTCCTGCAAGTCAAAATGACCATGAAAGGGAAATATTTTATATTGATTCAGGCCATTGAGGCAGCCAAGTGGCTCCAGTGAACACCCACAGCCTTTCTGCGTAGCCTGTGTCCTCTGGGCTTGGCGAGTCACAACTAAACACTCTCATGAAGGAGGACTTCTAGCACTGTGGCAGAAAGTGGCAGGAATGACGGGATAAGTGTGTCAGAGGCAGAGGGGGATATTTTGAGGGGGATGCATGGCAATGCGTTTTTTATTGTAATAAATTTGTTAAAATGCCAACATTTGCCATAGGTTTCCATCACACCTTGTGCGTGCCTTATAGGTTCGTTTCTCCACTATTATTTTTGTGTACTTACCCTGTAGATTAAATGATATTGGGGAACTAAGACCATAACAGCTCATTATCAGGGCACGTAGCAGCTGTAGATAGGGGAGGAGGATCATCAAGCCAAACAGAAAGCCAGGACTCAAGTCCTGACAGCAAAAGGCAGATCTGCGAAAGGAGTCCAAGGAAGCGTCGTTAGTCCAGGGTTTCTCACGCTTGGCTGTCATTTGAAAATCCTAATGCCCAGGCCACAATTAAACTAAAAATTTTTATGGCTGGGGCCAAGGCATCAATATATTTTAAAGATTCCCAAGTGATTACAATGTTCAGCCAAGTTTGAGAACCACATCATGACTTTATATAGATGAGAGTTTCTTATAGAAGCACAGCAGATGTGAGCAAAGTCCAATAATAAATTACCACACAGTGTGGCAAGGGACAGCACCAATGGTGAAGGGGACCCTCTGGGGAAGGAGCTTGCAGGAGACAAAGCCTTCAGCAGGTGAGAGGGAAAACTCCAGCACTGTGGTGACACACGCCTGTGATCCCAGCAGGAGGATTGCTGTGAGTGTGAGGCCAGCCTGGGCTACATAGTGCATTCAAGGCCAGCCTGGGCTACGCAGTGAGACCCTGTCTCAAAAGACCAAAACAAAACAAAAAGTGGCTTGGTGCCAACAGGCCTGCCTGTCTCAGAGCAGAATATCTTGGGTCTGGCCAAAACTAAGCCCACTCTCACAGCACTCGAGGTTATCTGTACATAGCGTTTCTTTCCCAGGGGAAATAGCCAGGGTCCCTGCAGAAAGGCAGCAGCCAAAGTCTCATCAGTGAGCACCTGCATTTCGCCGACCCTCGTCCCTTTTAATCCTTTCCCTGACACCAATGACTAAAAAAATTTAAGGAACACTTAAGCAGTTTTTTCCTTAAAGGAGTAACAGGTTGTTTTCGTACTTTCCAAGTGCATATTTTATATTTCTCTCATAGTTAACCAGGGTATCACATGTAACTTCAAACACAAAAAATACTAGCACTTGAAGAAAATACAGCATTCGCATGGCTGAACCATTCTGTGTAAGAGACGAGGAAGCGTAAGGTGTAGAAAGATCAGCTCAGCCCTTACCTTTCATGTATCTTACCCTGAGTGAAAATCCAAACTGAAAAAGCATCACATGCTTTTGAAAACCCCTAACAAGCTAAAAATAAGTGCATGAACTATTGAAAAATCAAAACAAGGTATGGACTCTTAAACTGAAACCAGTATATGAAAAGCCAACAAGTTTGGAGACAAGCTAACCCTGTGGTAGGTATGATTGACCTTTGGTTATTGCTGTTTCCTTCACGGAGTATAGAGTAACTATACTCAACATATTGTTAGCAGACTATCTTTAGCACAGAGATTTAAAAATGTATTTTAAATACATGTACCATGCCACTTCTTTGGGGGGAAAAACAGCCTATTTCCAATAATATCTTTTTTGGACATTAAGCAGCACTGTACTGTAGTTACATACATACCTATTTAGTCTTTCGCGATGGAAAATGGCATTAGGACCTTTTATGAATGTTAAGCAACAACGCACCGTAGTTATACAAAATGCCTATTTAGTCTTTCACAATGGAGAATGGATACTAAAATATTAGTTTCTGAGTGAACCTTAGATAGTAGTGGCTCCAGTGAACACCCACAGCCTTTCTGCGTAGCCTGTGTCCTCTGGGCTTGGCGAGTCACTTGATGTGACCAGTGGAAGGTCAGCATGCCAGACACCAGCAGAGACCTAAGAAATGCCCGTGCACCGAGTACTCCCTCTCCAAAGCTCAGTTATCCTGAGACCACTGTACCATGAAGAAGTCTAAGCTCAGCTCAGGGACAGGCCGCTTGAGGGAAGGCTGGGAAAGCCAACCAACAGCTGTCACTGAGGCTGTGGACACGGAACTCAGGTCCGGCCATTCCAGCCAGTCCATCAAGGATGTCCTCTCTGCCGCTCTACCAGCAGGGACTGAGCCGTGTGGCTCCAGCCCAGGAGGAGAGATGTGGCCAGGTAAACTCTTATCGTTGTGTTTTGATTCCCTTTGACTCCTGGGTTCCTCATTCCAGGGACATTAACAATCTCCCCATAGACACTGATGCTGGCGGTATCACCAGGTGCAGAGTTTTCCTGAAAGCTGATCTGGCTTCCAGGTGGGTGAGCAATGTCCTCCTTCACCTGGGAAGGATCAGACCTTCCTGGGGGGACAGTGCTGAGGAGCAGGTGGCTCCCATCCCCAGTGTTCACCAAGTCGTTCAGACCCCGGCATAGAACGCATTCACCGGAGGCCTGATTGTTCACAGGGCATACTTCCCATGCCATCCCCTCGCATGCTTTTTAATCAATAACTGCTTTTCACATGCTTGGCGTTAACACGTCCCTGGAGTGTTTGTACAGCCTGACAATGTTGGTTTTCCGACCGAACTACATGCCTGACCTCATCCCATGCAGATGACTCACGCCCATCTTATTCTATTACAACATCTTTGTGTCACCATCGTTCTGAAGAGGATTAGAGAGTTTGTAAAATATATTTGCATTGAGGTCATGCAAAAAAGGAAAAGACGGTGCCTCTCACAACCTAATGATCTGATGCCCTAGTAGGAGTTCTGCTTAAGAACTTGAAATCAGGGTGTGTGTGTGTGTGTGTGTGTGTGTGTGTGTGTGTGTGTGTCTAGTCACCCCATTACATTGGTCGTCCTACTCACCAAAACTTCTCTTGAAATTTAAATGAGAACTCCTCTACTAGAAGTACAAGTCCTCTAACGAACACTGTGAGCATCTATTTATGCTCATTTCAAGGTATAGGTGCACAGCACTCACACGTGCGACACACACATGCACATACTAGCTGACATTTTAAAAAGAACTATTCTTTTTTGTAACAGTGCATGTCCTTATAACTGAAAGCACAAGTATAATCTCCCACACGTGACATATGTTCACGCACACGCCTTATCCCTGTACAATGCTAATTATTATGTAACATGCATTCCGTGGGTTCCCTTTACAGGAAAAACATTCTTGACTGCACTTTATATTCAGGGTCTCATTTAACAATGGCTACAACCCCCGAAGGACATCCTGACCTTCGTTGTAGAGCTCAGGAAACCGAGTCTCTGATGAAATACACGAGCTTACCTCTCCATGGCCATGCAGCTATAAAACAGTGCACCAAGAATCTGTACCCAACGTATGTGTACCTCAAGTCATGCAATTCAAAAAGCGGTCACCACGGTGTTGTGTAAAATCTCAACATTGTAATTCATTTTTATGAACATTGGCTGATGTTTTTTTTAGGTGTGACATCTAGGATGAGAAATTGGAGTTTTCTATTTTGAAACCAGAACTCACATGTTTCCAAGGTGATTGAGTTTGCCTCATTTACATGACACTAGAAAAATATACATGAGTCACAAATAGACACTCAGGACAAAGGAGGGGCACACTTTCATGACCAAGAGCAACCTTCTCATGACCTACACCCCGAAGCAGCCAGTGCTCTGAGCACTGACGTTTTCTTGACTTGCTGCCACTTGAAACTCTACCCTTCGGGACCCAGGACACGGACTGCTCCGCCAAGAACTTGGCAGGGCTCAAATCAGGAAGATCTCACCCCGTCCGTGTCTGCTGAGAGAAACTTACACTCGCATACAATCAGAGAGTGTGGGAGGAAGACAAGAAGGCAGTAAGGAAGGGCAGGCCGCTGTTACACCAAATACTTTCACAGCCCTTAGCAGGAAATATTTTACCCAGAGACTCACGACAAACACGTATTGCGAAGGTTTCCGTGCCTCCCTCCTCTCTAGCACCTTAGGAAGTCGTACTTTCGAGTCCCCACCCAGCCACAAGCTTTGCATATCGTGCGTCTCAAATAGTAAGGTGCACGCATCTAACCTAGGAATGTTGTTAAGGCACAACTGCAACCAGGGAGCTCTGGGTGGGGTCTGAGATTCCGCATTTCTGAGGAACTCGTACTTGATGCTCAAGATGCTCAGGACACTAAGCATCTGTAGCATTTTGAGGAGCAAAGGGCTCATTATGGATGGTTTTGCCCCATGGGCCATTTGGAAGAATGTCACATCTGTCAGCTGGCCTCAGTAGATTCCATAAATACCAGGCTGGATGAGCAAGAACAGGAAATGTGGCATCGTTAGAATCCCATCAGCACAGGCCTGCTCAAAGCGAGCTGGCCCTCTGGAGTGCGGACGAGGGAAGCCTTGTGCGTGGTGTTTCTCGGGTCTCCTCAAGAGTAGCAGGCAGGATGGAGTCCGGAAATTGAAATCCACCACCCGGTTCCAAATTATCCCTGTATCCAAGGCCTATCACAAGCCATAAGTAGCTCACAGCCAATCAGACCCCCTAGAGAGGATGAAGATCACCTGCTGTAGTCGGGGTTTGCAAGGGGAACAATACAATACAGGACGCACAATTTACAGGATTATTTTATAGTAGTCGCCCAAAGAGTCACATACAAAGAGAATGCAGGAAATCTGTCCACACCCTGAAGACCCAGAGCATCCAGCTGAGGGCCTGGACCCCACAGCAATGTCGTGCATGAGTCCAGCTGAAGACCTAGAGCCCACAAAAATGTCCTCCACGAGTCCAACCGGAAGCCTAGAGTCCACGACAATGTCTCATGCAAGTCTGTTTCTTGGATCTGCACTGGGAAGGCCCAAAGGTCAGTGGTAGAATCTAGAAAGTCTGCGCCAGCGGGATGAAGGATCTGTGCCAGCAGGCGGAGGGATCTGCACTGGAGCCAGGAAGCGACACTGAAGTAAAACCAGAGCTCTCCTGAAAAGTACCACAGCCCTCCTCAGCAGCAGCAAGGTCCTGAGCTCCTCCAAAGATGAGAACAGCTGAGTCCATATCAGGAAAGCCAGCGTGACAGGCTTCTCAGGACATTGAACAGTGCAACCGTCTGCCCCTCTGCAGCCAGGAAGCGATGCTCAAAGCAAGGACCAGAGCTCCCCCAAAGTCAGCCTCAGCCATTCTCAGCAACAACGAGGCCCCGAGCTCGTTCAACGATGAAAACAGCTGTGTTCATATCACGAAAGCCAGCATGACAAGCTCCTCCAGAAGAACCAGCAGCTCAAGAGCTCCTCTTCTTCGCCAGTTGTTTTTATTTTGTTGGCAGCAGTCCTCTGGCGGCCTCCCGCAACCAGCACCATGCTGCTTCAGCTCAGCCGGGGGTTACAAGTTGCCCAGCAGTTGTCAGCCCGCCGCAGCACCTGTCCTGCACTGTCTACTGTGCTAACAAGCACGGCACGTCTCTGTTCACATCCGTAGTGGAGCCAAGCAATGGCTGAGGTTTTATGAGAAGGCAGCAGTAACACTACCAAGTAAGCTGTGTAATTATAACCATTCTGCCTTGCACTAAGTCAGCTTGCATTCGTGCTTGCTGTTGGTGTTGCTTTTCCATGTTTTCAAGAAATTCATGTTGAAATGAATACAGCGGGGAAAAAGAACCAATGACGAGGTAGTTCTGAACACCCACCTCGTACCTATTACAGAGCCGGTTGCTACCGGGAAGACAAAAATAAATAAAGATGCTCCAGAAGCCAGAGCTTCCGAAATTAAAACACCCCAAACAGTCCTCTGGCCCAGCTGCGATCCCTGGGTCCCATCCACATGGCACAGAACCCTAATAATCCCCCCCATTACGAGAAGAAAATTGGTTCAAGCTGGGAGATGAAGAGAAAACGTGTTTCTTCCGTCAAGTTTTTCCTACCCTTTTGAAAATTTCAACCACGCTCAAAACACCTGCCTACAGCCCTCCGAGACCCTAACCCCAGCCCCCGTGTCAGCGGCCGTGCCAACCTCACAGCCTGCCCCAGCATCCAGGCACCAGCACGGCTGGCTCAGCCTGCTCGCCCAGCGGGCGGTGACCGTCGTTACCTGAACGGCAGGTTTGCCAAGCACGCCACTTTCCATCACATCTAGGCTGTCATTAGCGTCCTCGGAAAATAGTAATCAGCCGACCAAAGAAGGGCATTCCAAGAAAGCTCCTGGTTGCAGATGTTTGGAAAGCCAGGAGAATCTATTTTATTCATTCTCGAAAGCAAGGGAAGTCCCGCACACAACACACACAGCGTGGGTCACCCCTCGGTGTGGGCACTGCGCTCGGCCACGGTGGGTGGATCGCGGGGGCATGGGCCGTGAGGGCTGGCGGGCTGGCGGAAGGAGGGTCTCCAGTCTCTGCAAGGATAGGAGCCCGGGGCGAGACATTTTCTGTGCGGCACAGCTTATACACTTCTCACTCGTCCTCCTGTCCTTCTCCCTACAGTGTTAGCTGCTTAGAAGCTTCTGGAACTGGACCCTCCGCAGGAGATGAAGGATTAACGACCCTGCAACTGAAGGGAGGAGGAGCGGGCACTCGGATGCCCCTCTTCCATCCACCCACACCATCTCACAGCCAGCCAGAGGCCAGGGTGACCGAGCCTGGCTTCCGTGTCCATCCACGCTGGTGCTGCCTTGGGGAGCGGACGTCAGAACCAGCGCCCTCCTCCGCCACCTCCCACAGAAGGACGAAATGAGAGCCCAGCTGCAAGTCAGCGAGCATCGGCCTGCTGACTGTTTTCACAACAGCAAAGGGTTAAGCCCACGGCCTCCAGGAGGCGAGAGCCAGGGTGGAGCGGGGCCAGGGAGCGGGCTGGGAGCCAGGAGGTGGTTTCCTTCCACATCCTCCACGTCACCCCCCAAAGGTGGGCAAGGGGGAGAAGTCAGCAGAACCGACTCCAAAGATCCTTCAGAAGTGAAACTCTTTTTTTGTTTGTTTGTTTGTTTGTTTTTGTTTTTTTTTCTCTGGTACCGGGAACCGAACTCATGACCTTGCGCTTGCCAGGCAGGCACTTTGCCACTGAGCTAAATCCCCAGCCCCTGTGAAACTCTTTTTTTATTGGTGCATATTAGCACCCCAGACTAACAAGGTGCGTCGGGTACCCCGGGTACACATGGACAGATTCTGATTCTTTTCACCCTCATTGTCCCGGGCCCCTTCTCTCTGGTTCCCGTCGGTCCCTGCAAGTCCCTCTCGCCTCCTGTCCCCGCTCCTTCAAAGAAACGAAACGCTGCAAGCAGTCCGCTCGCTCTGAAAGCATCCAGCCATGACACACAGGCGTGTGCGCTCTGATTGGTCTCTAGCAGAGGGGGTTGGGGGCCTCTGATCCTCACTTCCTGCCCCCCAGTTTGGTTCTGGAGCCTCCAGCAACCTCAGACACTGACACGAAATCATCTCACTCTCATTTCCTCTCCTCTGGAGCCACCCTAGAACAAGGACAGAAAGGATGTGGAGCTTCCCACTAGGGGCGCTGCAGAAGGGATGGGTGCTCGGTGGGACAGAGGACGCAAACCGCTGGCCCTGCTCACCGACCCTCATCGAGGTGCCTCAGCCTCCCTCCCTCAGCTCCATCCCACACAGCTCAAAGGAAACAGAATCCACTTGCAAGAAAAGCAAGCGGAAAGGTCGGGCGGCGGACAGGAAGCTCCTGCTCCCGCCCGAGCCACTCTCCTTCCCCCGGGTGCCAGCTGCCTCTGCCCCACGGGGTGCTGCAGGCATTTCCGTGCTGGCATCTGTGCCTTCCGGGCAGCCACCGTAGCTTGTGTCTCTTTCCACAGATTAAAGGGCAGAAAGAAAAATGTTCTTGGATCAACTCCTAGAAAAATCTTCAGCCAGATCTTCCCGGGCTATGTCAGGCCAGTCGGTGCCTGTTTACATTCTGTGGCTTCTTTTCTTTTAAAATATGGATTAAATGAGGCAGGGATGAATGAAAAGGTTAGAAGTTCACAGTTCCGGCAGCGCTGCTGTCTCAGTGTGTGCGATGCCTACTTTAAAACCTTTGTGGGCCACCGCTCCCATGACAGGAAGACAGAAAGAGGAGGTTTCTAAGCAGAAGACAAAGACTTAAGAGGAGGACCAGCTGAACCAGGGGGACCTGCAGAGTTGATTACTTTCTTCTTAATTAGAAAAGAGCTCGAATTTGCAAAGAGCAGGCAGAGGGCATCAACTGTTCTGGAGCCTCCGTCGATGTCTGCAGGTCAGGAACAATCAAAGTAGACACGGTTCCCGAGGGGCACGGCCTCACCCTTCTCCCTCCACGCCCAGCCACGGTGGAGCTGGTGCCAACAGCAGAATCCAGCAGTAGGAGCAACGTCCTTCCGACCCACTGGGCCTAAAAATTTCCCCTCTGACCTTTACAGAAAAAAAGTCATCCCAGCTCTGCTGCAGAGGAAAGGAGCTGAAATCACAGCCTGAGCAGTGAGACCTACAGATCAGTATCTCTGCCCCAGAGAGGGGATGGACATTAGGTCTTCACTAGAGTCAAGAGGGTCCTGACCCCTCCCCACACTAATAACCACGGCCAGGGGTAATTTCAAAACGATCTGGAAGCCAGGCGTGGTGCTGCACACCTGCACTCCCAGTGCTCCGAGAGGCTGAGGCAGGAGGATGCAAGTTTGGGCTCAGCCTCGGCAACTCAGCAAATTAGAAAATTAGCAAGACTCTATCTCAAAATAAAATATTGCAAAGGACTGGGGATGTAGCTCAGTGTGAAGGCCCTGGGTTAAACTCCCAGAACCACAGTATAAGAAAAGAAAGAAAGAAAGAAAGAAAGAAAGAAAGAAAGAAAGAAAGAAAGAAAGAAAGAAAAAAAGAAAGAAAAAGAAACACCACCTAGGTATTTTAGGATTGGTGCTGTCCCTTAGAATAGAAAAGCACCCCCGCATAATTCATGCTTATGACAGAAACTAAGAGAAAGGATACATTTTGCTTTTGACTTCTAAAGTTGGACAGTTTCCCCAACGCTTCGCAAGATGACAGTGCACGGTTGCTCACCAAGCAGGGTGTCACGTTGTCCTTCGCAAAACGTCAGTGTGAACGAGCGAGCGACAAGGGCAGTAACTGAGTCACACACCCTCGCGGGGCTTGCGGCAGCCTGTGAGATACGAAGAGCAACAGCGCCTCCTGCTGGCCACAGAGGCAACGTGGGCCCGGACAGAAAGGCCTTTCTCCCGATCGCCTAAAGGAGTATCCGTCAGACTCCGCGGCTCATTCCCGGGGGATGATCCAAGGAAGAATTTAAGTGATTTGCATGACAGAGAGGGACGAACCGGAAACAGGGCTCACCAGGCTGTCACTTACCTGCCTTTCAAACTCTCTCCCCTCTAGAGATTCTTTTAAAGTGCATCAAGGAGGCTGCAGGACCTGACAGGGCCCCCGCGCCCCGGACCCGCAGGCCTCCCGGTCTCCTCTGAGCTCCTCCTCTCTCTTAGGGCAGCAGAGGATGGGACCTCACCGTGTCATTTTGTCATCCGGGCCACTCCACGCCGTGCAATACAGACTTAAAAACAAAAGCTGGGGCCTTTTATCTTTTGAACCCTGATCTCGTCCTCACCCGACCAGACCAGCAGCAGGGACATTCGCTGGCAGGCGGAGTGAGCGCCCAGGGACCTGGGTGAGGGCACTGCTTGGTGGCAGTGAGGTGTAGACCAAGGCCGGTTAAGGACCGGGCCAGGGCAGGCCCAGGCAGTGTCCCAAGCCAGCGGGAAGGCGCAGGGCTTCTGTACCGAAAGCAGGGGAATCCGAACAGCAGAAACATCTGAGAGGCGGCAGCTCCCACGGAATAACGCAGGCTCGTCCGTGCTCTGGAGCAGGGCGGCAAAATCCCCGGGTCTGGCTTTGGTGACCACTGGGTCCTAGGTAAGAAGCCCCCCGCTGTCCCTGCATCAGAGGACTCTCGGTCACCAGAAGCGTAAGTGTCGCAGGAAATGCTTGACAGAAAATGACAAGGAAAGAAGAGCAGGCAGCAGTTTAGTGACAGGACCCTCTGAGGTGAACTTGGCGGACCTCGAAGGCAGACCCTGACCAGGCCGCTGGGATGGGTCCAGTGAGGGCAGGAAAGGGGCCCTACCTGCGCAGGCCCAGCACTCTGGCGCCTTCCCTGAAGCAGCCTGGACGTGAGGGTCAAAGCACAAAGCGGAGGGCTCCTCTTCCCTCTTCAGATTCCAAAGGCCCGTGAGCGGTTTCCACACTGCAGACAGAAGCATCGCTCACAAGCCTGCTAGCACCTCAGCCTAGAGGATCAGGGCTGGCCTCCAGCTCACAGAAATCCTCCTTCCTCAGCCTCCCGCGTGCTGGGGTTACAGGCATGCACTGCCACAACCTGCTTCCTACCGTTTTGTTTTTTTTTTTTTAAGAGAGCAAAGGAGAAAGATACTCTCCCAGCAGAGGGAGCAGGAGCTGCATGCAGACTTCTTCACCCCGCCTTGAGAATCTTCAGACTTGAGAGCCCGAATCATCTATTTATTTAATTTCTTTTTAAAAAGTTTGAAATGACTCTTTCATTCCATCTAAAAATGGTTCACGTATACCATTAAGTGCAGAAAAGCTTGGAAAAGAAAATGCAGAAATATTAACAAGTAATTATTTAAGGGGGTGTAATTTTTATGATTATCTCCTTTTGGGTTTTCCAGATTTTCTGCCTTACTATGTGACTTTAATGGTTAGAAAAACTGTTCCAATCAGAGCTGGCAAAAATTTTGATAATAATTTTGGAACAAGATTACTAATTTGGGGAGGAGCATGACTATGCTAGTTTTGGGCAAATGGGCAAAATGCTTAATTCTTAGGAAGAAAATCCATAAAAAGTATTACAGCTCTGCTGGTGGAAGCCTACATTTTTTGGCCAGACAAAAGTCCTCCATTCCACCAAAGATGCATTAAAATATGTGGGTGAGTAAAGCCTTGCAGACATTGAATAAAATGTTACTTTAAATTATATTAAAAGTTAAAAGTCTTCCTACTTCAATGCTTACGGAAGAGCAAAGTGTTAGGAAATGCATTTCAAAGCGTTCCCACTGGCAAGCCCACATTAAGTGCATAGTTCCACAAAATGAAATGCCCAAGGATTTACAAATTTGCCTGCACACCATCCATTGAATCAGTGAGATTATTTTCCAAACAGTGACAGTATCAGAGTCACCCACGTCTCCTGAGCCCAGAGCCGGCGGTTTTCCCCAGGATAGAGATTTCACTGCAACCTGCAGAAACATGCCACTGAGTCTCATACTTTGATTAAGGAATGTGGCAAGATACATTTTCCTTGGTGGTGCCCACCCTAAAAACGGAAAGAATTTTCAAAGGAGCAACACCAAAAAAATGTAATATATTCTCTTTAAAAAGCCATCAGCTGCGTGCCTCCCTTGTAGACACTGGGTCCAGAGCCCCTGGGAAGTGCTTTACTGGAGTCTGGAAAACCTCGCCCCACTCCGAGCCAGCCCGAGGTGTGGACGCCCCCAGGGGCGCTGGTGCCTTCTGCTAGTTGTGCGGCTGTCCTACCCAGCAGTGGACGATGGACCCAATATTTCTGGAGGAAGCTTCTCTGGTGAGGGCGCTTTACCCTCTCACTCACTAACACTCTTGACGTCCAGGTCAGCAGCTAAGGGAACAGAGCCCCAGAAACCCGACTAACAAGGGGCTCCCACTTTGCAGGAGGGAGGCGCCCTGGTAGGGTGTCGCTCTCCAGGGCACCTTTGTCTGCCCACCGCTGTGCCCGCACCCCGGGTCGGGGGTCATGGCATGGAAGGCATTTTGGAGGAGTACGAAAGCTACGTCACAGTCTTTCCGCAGCCTCTCTCGATGAGAAGGACGCACCTGCCTGGCGGTGAGGGTGTCACACGCCTCTGCCGTCTTCGGGTCTCTCCTGAGCCAGGTGTCCCATTTACATCAGCGGTTCTCATTTTTCTTACCTGATGGCAGCAGGTTCTCAGCATGTCCTCCTCCTCGGCTGCTGCCCCCTCCTCCTTCTTCTTGTGAGAGACTGATTTCTATCAAAGTAAAATTCACATAAATATACACCTTTTACTCCAATGGCCTTTCACGTATTATTTTCACGGTGCCAACTTAAGGCTGCGTCGCGCTCATTCAATACCTGCGGACGGTGTGTCCAGATCAGAGCGTTCCTCTCTCCTTAAACACCCTTCACTTTTTGATTAACTTGTAACAACTGTGTGTCTCTGTGCATTACCAAGCATTTCCAGTGACCAGCGGGCTGGGGGAGCAGCGCTGCAAACTCCGCCCGCGTTCCCGCAGCCCTCAGCTGCGGCCCCTGCTTGGAGGTGTGAGGGGTCCTGTCCCAAGTCTTTACTGGCTTCTTCTTCAGCTTTTATTTGAATTTTTTGGGGTTCAGATCTTCCTGTGCTTTGCTACGGGTACTGCTTCCCTTGCTCAAAGATTGAAAGCAAAAAGACATCTTGGAAGAAGTAGGGCGCTGCTTATCCCACACCTTTACAATTCTTAGGGACTAGGCGTGGACCCTGTGTCTCTTCTGAAAGCTTTAGAGAATTGCTCCAAGAGGTTCAGCAGCTTCGCAAGTCACACAGCAAAGCCAGAGTCCTCGCCTGATTATCCCCAACACGCTGGGGTCCTCTGTACCGGGAGGGTCCCACCTCAGACTCCCCCTGGCCCCGCCCCTGGTGCTCATTTAAATATCCCATCCCCATTGGCTTCCTCTGCCTCCCTCCTGCCCCTCCCAGAGCCAGGTGGGCAGGTACCCTCTGCACTCATCCCTGTAACCCCAGAGCTGGCACATTCCTACCGAGTGACAGGATCATCACCTCTCTAAGGAGCTCTTCCCAGGAAAGGGCAGCTCCGGGTAGGTCTCCCACTCCAGAATCTTCCTCTCCAAAACCTTTTAGCTATTTCTTCTAACACTCACTTGCAAATTTCTTTCTTTCTACGTGTGTGCGCGTGTGTGTGTGTGTGTGTGTGTGTGTGTGTGTGTTTATCAGGGCTACAATCCAGACCCTTCGTACTGAGCTACTTCCCCAGCCCTTTTTATTTTTATATTTGTAATTTTGAGACAGCATCTCACTAAATTGCCCAGGCTGGGCTCAAACTTGCAATCCTCCTACCTCAGCCTCCCCAGCACGGACCGCTGTGCTCAGCTGGTCCTACATACTCCTAAACAACATGCTTAAATTGCCATTTCTGTCTTGCTAATTTAAGATAGTAAAGACCTACATTTCAATTGTGGAAGATGAAAATACTAACCCCTACCTCTACTTGCTATTTCTCTATCCTTCCAGCAAGATTGCCTCACAGTACCTCACAATTTGTGTGTGTGTGTGTGTGTGTGTGTGTGTGTGTGTGTGTGTGTGTGTGTTGAGGGTTTCTACCATTCTGCTATAATGAAGTCCCATGAGCAGGACTTGTCTGTTTTGTTTACTGAAGAACAGTGCCAGGCACATGGCAGACATTAAATAAATATTTATACATATAAATAAATATGAATGGATGAATTCTCAGATTTACAGTATGTGACTTATCCGCAGCCCACCTCCCCACCGCCGTGTCCCTCCAGGCTCCTGGCTCTTACCCTCGCCTTGGGGTCTGAGCGCCTTAGGGAAGCCTCTCGTGACTGCCTGTCACACAGATTTACTGCAAACCCCTCCCCGACATCCGGAGTCCTTTCATGAACAGTGCTAATGTACAATCACTGATTCGCTCGGCTTCCCCGCTCGCCACCTGCCGCTCTGAGGCAAGAGAAACGGTTCTTCCTGTCCCGGGTGAGCCGCCAGCGCCACCGACAGGCACGAGGTGTGACCCACTGCCGGCCGTTCCCTCTTCTCTCTGGGTCATTGCAGACATTTTATGTTTCCAACCATCGAGCTTCTTCTCTGCGTTTCCATCTTCAGATCTCCCTCAAAGATAAAAACAACAAATTCCGGGTAAGAGATCACGACTTCTTTCCAAGTTAGGATTGCTGCCCTGAAAAACATGGCTCGACATGGGCTCCACTGGGCAGAAGAAGGCATGCACACTGAGAGTGAGCAGTCAGCTGCTGTGCTTTCCTACACGACCACCACTGACATGGCACACAGTGGCACCGACTCCCAGGGACACCGAGGGCTGCCCCAACCAGAGTCCCCGACAGCAAGGATCCGAGGCGGGACAAGCATAGCAGACCGGATCTGGACAGTGCGTTAATATGCAGACAAGACAGGGCTGTTCTTTCTTTTTCTTAACCTACTTTTTGAAGGGCATGTATTTCGATAAATTACAAAACAGAAGAAAATGAATCACGCACCTTATCTGACCTCTATATCAGGGAACCTACATACCTGACACGTGTTTTATGCCTGACTTCTGTACATACAGACATGGGGAGACACACTGATTCTCAGGACCCCAGGGGGGCTTTGTCTACCAACACATGGGCAAATCTGCTCACCTGAGAAAATAGGGAAATCGCGCAAAATTGGTTAAAAATGAATTTCCTCATGTTGGAGACACAACTTTTGAAATGGTCTCTGAAAGATTTAAAATTTTTGAATCACTCCCAGGTTTGAAGCACTTTGTTGTGTTGTGTTGTGTTGTGTTATGCTTTCCAACTGACTTTATTCTATTTTCATCAAAAAACTGTTCTATCCTGAAAGGAAGTTTTATGGCAGTTGTTGTAGTCAGGATTAATAAGGAAAAAGATTTCATATAGGACACATAATTTATAGGATTATTGTATAATATTCACCCAAAGAGTCAAATGCAAAGGAGTGTGGAAGATCTGTCCACACACTAGAAACCCAAAGAGTCCAGCTGAGGGCCTGGAGCCCACGACAATGTCTCACGCAAGACTGTATCAAGGATCTGCACTGGGCAGACCCAAGAGCCAGTGGCGGAAGCTAGAAAGTCTGCGCCAGTGGGATGAAGGATCTGTGCCAGCAGGCTGAGGGATCTGCACTGGAGCCAGGAAGCGATACTCAAGGTAAGGACCAGAGCCCCCTCCAAAGAAAACCGCAGTCGTCCTCAGTGACAGTGAGGACCCGAGTTCCTCCAATGGTGAGAACAGCCAAGTTCATATCAGGAAAACCAGTGTGACAAGATTCTTCAGGAGAGTCAGCAGCACCATCTTCCCCTCCAGTTCTCTTTTTCATGCTGTTGGCAACAGTCCTCAGGTGGGCCTGCCGTGCCCAGCACCACACTGACTCAGCTCAGCTGGGTGTCACAAGTTGGCCATTAGTTAATCCACCTCAGGTCTGGGGATTTAGCTCAGTGGCAAAAGCGCCTGCCTGGTGAGCACAAGATTGTGAGTTTGATTCCTGGTACCGGAAGAAATACAAAACAAAGAAAAAAAAACCTCAGCAATAGTTTTGCCTTAGGGATTATCATCTTCTGTGTGTAAATATCAAAATACAATTTTAAAACACCAAAGCTTTATAACAACATGCAAATGGCTTGTTAAGTCCATGTTGAAAGAACCATTAAAAGCATAGTCTTTGAAAGATTTCATTTCTTGTTAAGAAAATGTGTCAGGCAACATTCTTCATTAAAGATATTGGTAAAATGTTTGGAATGCTAAGATGCATCATGACCGGGACAGAATGATCACCATGTGTAATCAGTAGATAACCCAGCCCAATCTATGGACATTATATAAAATAGACAGACAGACAGACAGATACCTGGGTTCACAAGCCGAATTCTGTCCGTGATTCTGGTCACAACCTGAATTGGATGAGAACTGGATCCAATTTCCACATGAGGTCAACATTGAACCTAGCCGCTGAATTTGATTCAGTTCTTGTCCAACACATTTTGCAACCAGAATTGTGGAAAGAATTAAGTGTATGAACCCAGGTACCACTGATATAAAATATATATGTATATACATGCATATATATGGTATAGTTCTTTCCTATTATTCCTGAGCTATGATAAAACATTAAATCAAACACAGAAGAAAAGGTACAGTGAAGAGATATGGTAAACATGAGATGGTATATGATAAATACATATATATATAGTATACCATATGTGATATGTAGTTTTTAAATATATGTAGCATATATGATATACATTATATAGGTATGCCAGTATGTAGACCATATAACCTAGGTGTCTAGTAAGCTATACCATCTGGGTTTGTGTAAGTAAAAGCTAATGTTTGTGTAAGTAAAAGAGGACTGCCTCTCTCTAATAATCAGTGATGCTGAACATTTTTTCATATACTTATTTGCCAATTATACTTCTTTCTATGAAAAGTGCATATTCATCTCAGATGCCCATTTGTGGACTGGGTCTCTAAATTTGGGGGTCTGATTTTTTTTCAGTTATTTATATGTTCTAGATATAAGTCCTTTGTCTAAAGAACAAGTGGCTAAAATTTTTTCTTACTCTGTAGATTGTATTTTCACTCTGTTAGTCATTTCTTCTGTTGTGTAAAAGCTTTTTAATAGGATGAGATACCAGTTATTGATTCTTTGTATTATTTTATATGCAATCAGGGTTTTGTTCATGAATTTGCCTACATCTATGTCTTCAAGAGTTCTGCTTATTTCTTCTTCTGGCAGATATGTGTTTCAGTTCTAATATTTAGATCATTGATCCATTCAATTATAGCTTAGTGCATGGTGAGGTACATGGGTCTGGTTTTAATCTTCGGCATGTGGAAAACCAGTTTTTCCAGCACCATTTATTAAAGAGGCGATCTTTCTTCCAGTGAATGTGTGCGGTTCCTTTGTCAAAGATAAGCTTCTGAGATTCCATCTCACTCCAGAAAGAGTGACTATCATCATGAAATCAACCAATAACAAATGCTGGAGAGGCTCTGGGGAAAAAGGAACGCTTCTCCACTGTTGGTGGGAGTGTCGACTGGTGCAACCACTGTGGAAATCAGTGTAGAGATTCCTCAAAAATTAGGATTAGAGGTCCCATTTGACCCACTATTCCCCTCCCGGGGGTCTTTCCAGAAGAATTAAAAACATCATACCTCAGCCATATATGTGCACCCTTGTTTATAGCAGCACAGTTTGTAATAGCTAGATCTTGGAAACAACCCAAATGCCCACCAACCAAAGAATGGATAAAGAATATGTGGGGTTTTTTTTTATATATATAATAGAGTACTACTCTGCCATAGAAAAGGATGAATTTGATGCATTTCTACATAAATGGATGCAACTTGAGACCATACTCTTAGTGAAATAAATTGGACTCACATGTGTAAACATCACATTGTCTCCGTGGAACAAGAAACTGAAAGAGTAAATAAGGACCCAAATGTACAATAGATGTTGTGAAATGGGAAGAAATTGTTCCAAAGGAAACTAGGGTGGGGGAAGAGGGAAAGGAACAAAAGGAAAAGGAAAAAAGAATAAAATAAAGACAAGGTTTTGTAAATAGTGAGGGGAAAATGGGTTGAAAGGAGGAGGGGGGACTGGGGAAAAAAAAAACAAATCAAAATCTATCATGTACAGGCACAAATCCCTATGATGAATATGATTGTTATGTATATCTACAATGTACCAATAAACTTAATTTTACAAAAAGAAAACATCACCTAACCGTGTATTTCTGAGAACATA